GCAAGTCAGATACCAAGAAGCATTAGGAGTTGGAGTAGGTTAAGTTTACCTACAAGTGCAGTTAACTGTGCTCCACAGGCAGGTTAGCAGAAGGTCCTCTTGCTTTTCAATTAACCTGTAGATCAGACAGCCTGCTGATGTGGCTCAGTCCCAGCGTGCTAGGTTCTAGCTAAGGTGAAGCAAGTCCTGCAGTGATTAATGTTTTTTTCTCTAGCTTGTTTTCCTCAGCTCTGTAATTGAAAATTGCTAAAGCAAGTCATTTGAAGTATGTGTAGTATCTTAGGAACTATAACTTAGTGATCATAAATTTGCATTACAAATGGCTATATAGCTCCTTACCTGGCATAAATTATCAATCTGAACCACTTATTAACTATACCACAACTCTGACCCACCCTGTAATCACCACTGGCCAAATATCTGTTCATTTGAAGCTCCATTTTCTTCTAGTTTTTATTCTCTATTCCCTTCTTGAGGGTGCTTTTGGTTTTATGTAGGAAGAACTCACTATTTGTTTCTTTACTTCTCATTCATTTGAAACTGAGTAATGCTATACCTGCCTTTTAAAAAAAAGAAGCTTTCAGAGAAATATGACTGGTAATTTTACTCTATTCATAGTAGGTATAGCTATTAAGCTTAAGCAGAAGTATAAATTTTGAAGAAATTAAAGGCAACACAGTGTTTGGACTGTTTAAAATGTTTACCATCAGCAGGTAAGGTTATCAAGCTCCTGAATATTCAAATACAAAATATTTAAATTATGGCCAGATACTGCAGTCAGAGAGATTGAAAAGCAAAACTTTAATCAAGCTGAAAGATTTAAGATGTTTCAATGAAGTAGTTAAAAAGATGTACATAAGCATTAAGTCATTAAAATGACTTAAGCCTCTTAATCTTCTCAAAAGCAGGTTAGGCTAAATTTAAACAAAACATTACATGAACTCCAATTTTGGTTTTATACACTATGTATCCTTGGTACAGAACTCAGTACATACAGTTCTGAAAACTGATTTTTGTTAAGATAGTACAGGTTCCTAGAGTCTCCAAAATATAATACTAGCTATGGAGTTACTTTAACAGCTATCTGCAAAAACCACTAATGACCCATCCTAGTAACACATATATTACTTCTAAATTTTCAGGAAAAAGAAAGACTCTTTGAAGTCAGTTAAATGTTTGTTTATACTCATATTAACTGCTGCCACTGTAAGTGATTTCATTATTCCCTTTAACTTCTGAGATTTTCATAAGCTCAAATGGCAGATGAGGGCCCATGTAATATAAATTTTCTCGTATGATATGAGTACGTTATTACTTACTCCTTTGCAAAATTTGTGACTAAAGGAACAGCCTTTCATAATAATTCCATAGGTCTACTGAATATGAAGGACAATAAAAGATAGTTGCCAATAATGTACTTTCTGAAAAGTCTGTAAACATTTTGCATGGTGTTTTAATAACAATAAAGCTTTTGTTATAAAACCTTGTAGAACTAAGAACTCTTTAAAAATGCAAGGTTTTAAAAAGAACTTTTTGTACTCTTAATTATTGCACCACAAGTTGACAAAAAGCTGAAGAGAATTAAGTCCTCATACTTGGCGCAGTATTAAATGGCATTTTAAAAGCAGATGGGGTATTTAAAAAGTTCTAGCCAAAAAAAGATATCATTAGGGGGAGAAAAAAAAAAGGCTTAATGCCATTATAAGAAATGTTGGCTAATTCTATTAAGAAGTTTAGTTGTAGAAATTTGGTCTTATTCAATGTACTACTGGAAAAGTTTAACATGGAATTTGTATTAAAAAAATGCTTATTCTAAAAATTAGGTTGACAGACTCCAGTATACTTTGTCCAACATGTTTAATTCCTTCTTGCTCAATGGATTTATTAGTTTTCTAATTACAACAGATGGATCAGGTACAGTTTTAGAATTAACTTCCCTATGGTTGTAACTTGCTTCATTTACAGTAAAGAAGACAAACCACCAAATTCATACTCCCAGAAGAGGTCTTTAATGATGGCCAGCACCAGAGGACTCTGAAACAAAGACACGAGTTAGACTGTTCAAACAGCAGAGCAAATCAATTCAGGAACGTAGTTCAGAACCTAAAACAGACAACTGTATCTACATTTGAGTACAAGAATTGGCAGATTCAACTGCCCTGTCAAATAAAGCAAAACCTTCAAACTACATACATAAACTTGGCCAATACTAAAAATCCTCTTTCACAAATTTTAAAGCACTATTGCAGACAAACTTCCATTTTTCCTCAGTTTTGGTATGGTTCTTTCTAAATTAAAGTTTATTTATGCTGTTATCCTTAAGTTTACTGGGCAGTATTTTCACTAATTACACATTTAAAAATGGAAATAATGTTTTGCATATACAAATTCAACTGGGAGCAAATAGGCTATCTATCATGCTGCAGAAAGTTAACTGAGATGTAGCAGCTCATGAAAAATTAAATTCCAATGTGATGTCAGAAGAAACTGTCCATGAATACGTAAAGACTACTTTATAGAAGATATAAAAATACATGTTCAAAATACAAGTTCAAACTTCTTAGTTTCTGGACAGCTAAAATAGCAGCTACTCTTGAGATTGTCCTGATTTAAGTAATTACATTAAATGGTTGTTACTATTATTTAAAAGAATTCCTCCCCGCAACCAGTCAAGGCATACAACTTCATTTCTACTCCTAAAACCTATGCAAAGGACAAGTTAAGACAGAGGTAGCATCCGTGCAGATTCACAGATGCTTCTAGGTTATAAAACCAACCATCAATACAAACAAAACTAGGTATTTTGAAGTAGTCTTTAAACATTTTCTAAATCCATAACTTAACCCTCAAGTTTACGTAAAATACACTCAGCTAATTTTTACTGCACTCATTTAAAAAATACAACAGGGTATTAGATGTTTAATACTTACTATCTGCCACTGCTTTTTTGCCTGGAAAAAAAAAGAAAAAAACAAGCTGAACAATGACAGTTCAAAAAAATACTTCCCATTTGTTTTTCACAGATAAACTTCAATTATATTATACTACTTGTGATTTGCTAATTTACCTTGAACAAGATTTAAAAAGTGTACAATGCATACTTGCTATTGTTCATGTCAGTAAACGTTATATTGATTTTTTTTTAAAAGTTGTTTTTAATTAACCAAGACTCCATGCATTTAGATATTGTAGCCATTAAGATGACTACTGTAGTTCAAAATAAACGTATTCATAATGGTACTATTTTACATAAGATATGGATATATATACACACACAACATACAGATGTAAACTGAAGTGATAAGAATACAGTTTGCTTTAAAATCTTCCTTTGTAAGTAAAATAGCTTATCTTACATTCCCATTGTAATTCTTCTTCTAAAATAGTGATTCACAGTGATCAGACAAAAATAGATGGAAAAAGTTCTTCATAAGGAAGACAGTCATAAGAAGTCATGCCTTGGAAATAGTAATTTGAATTATGAATAAAGCCATGAGCAACTTGATCTAACTACTTTAAGCAGTGGTTTGGACCAGGTGAGCTCAAGAGGTCCCTTCCAAACTAAGTTATTCTACAACATACACTTCTATAAATAAATGTATTATTTTTATTTGCAAAACTGTTCCCCAAACTGCGGAAACGGCTACAGCTATTAACAGCTATTTTCACTTTAAAATAATGCTTAGTATACAGAGCATACAGTTACCCCTTATCAAGGTTTTGGCCCTCAAAACCCTACACCACCACATCTATTATCTAAATCATAAATGAAAATAAAAGTAGCATGACATGAACACAAACTTGAAACAGTCTCTCAATTTTGAATTCTCCTTGAAATTAAACGAGTTAAAGCAAAAGTTAAACTCCCCCCACCAGGCTGTTCAACTACTTATGTTTACTTCAGCTTGTAAATGTAGTGCAACAGTTCTGGACATGCTACAAGTTATTTGGACAAAGCTAGAGAAATGTTGAGGTAACATCACTCGGCTGCGCTCACAGCGAGGGGTTCCTTTCCCTGTCAAGTTTGTCTACAGTTAATAACGTTTCATTGTTCATGACAGCTAGCAAAGGGTTTGACTTGGATTTTTTTCAGTATAGCCTAAACTGAAGAACAGGACCTTTAAGACACCATAATCTATTGTACCCTTCTACTTTGAGGGACCTGGCCCACTCAAATTTATTATTTTTATGTTAGATGTTCTGTTTCATCCTCTGAGAAAGTGATCCAATATCACCAAGTAACACACATTTTAATCTGCAACAACGTACCTCACATTTTGAGGTGCATCGGCCCAAAATAAATGAAGTGCTTTAACTTTCACAAGTTCACATGGGAAAACCTTTTAAAAACTAATTTTTTTGCAGATCTTGAGCAAAAACTTAACAACTAATTCTAAAAAAAAAATAAAAATAATTCTAACCAAAGTAAGTTTTAGTTCAGAACAATCTTACATTCCTCTTCAGGATAAATCTACAGGAGAAGCCTCTGGCTATATGTTGCAAGTTAGATGCGTGTTTTTAAAACCAGTTCTTATGTTACCTTCATAATGTAGTATTTGAGTATTTTTGTTAGTATAAACTTCTACACTGAGCATGTTAAAAACTTCTAAATTTTTATGGCAAAGACCTGGCTTTAAGTAATTGAGTATTAATTTCTTTGCTGGATGTTTTCAATTACTGATTTCTAACTGTTAAGGATATTCTCATCTATAAAGCTTATCTATAAAGTAACAGCTAATGAAGACTATAATGTGTAACTTACCACCATATGAAATTTTGTAGTAGACATAAGCTGTTAATGCTACACCAACCCATATTTCTTGATACACAGTAGTGAAGTAGAATTTCATGGCTCTCAATGACTTTGGAAGCATAGTCTGCACCATCTGAAAATTATAGGAAGTGTTGCCATGGTGAGTTTTGCAACTGTATTCTTACCTGCTGTATTTTTAATATATATACATATATTTTTATATATACACACTCCTGATATATATCAGCAGCAGTTTACAGGTTAAAAAAAATATCCCCAAACATGCAGAAGTACTTACTCCAAAGCAAAGCAATGAAACTTCAGAGTTAAGGTTACAATTTATGGGCTAAGACAATAAAAAATAATAAATTACAGCTGATTAGAGGGTTCAAAGATGACTCAATAGAGCATTTACAGAGTAGCAATACCTAGGCTCCTCTCTCCCTATCAGGGACAGCTTTTTTTAATGTTTCCAGATTATCTCAGGAGGAAAGGCTCCTTCTGGACAAGCTAGAGAGGCTCCTGCCTTACAGTACCAAGTTAGTTTCCCTCCATCCCCCACAGTTGTCTCTCCCAATATGGTAATTTCTACTCAAAATAGCAAAATAAATGATGCTGAGCTACTGAATCTGAATTTTATAGCAAAATAAATGATGCTGATTTATCAGGAATATTTTACTTTCAAAATATGCCCCAGGAGCAAGAAGCCTATTGCTGGGGGTTTCTTCCTTTCTATGCAGCTTTGTTAGACAAACAGAAAACTGTAAGATATTTTAAAATAAAGCTTACCCTAACTCACATTTGCACCACATTGCACTGAAATACTATGTGTTCTACTGTCTTACATACAGCACTTCACCCCAATAAAGTCACTATTTACACTTATTACAACACAATTAAGTCAGCTATATACACATATGACCAGTATATGGTAAACCAGAGTCCCAGGAAAGAAAATCAGATTTAAACTTTTATGAGGTAATGCTTATGTATTTACCATTACTAAATGTAAAGCATCCTTTGGCAAGCATCAAAAAGAATGCAAAGGTAGCCAATGTCAAAACAACTGGAAAAATCTAGGTGCTTCTTAAAGAACGAAAGCATCTTCATGATAATTAAGGTATAATTATAGACAAACCCACATTTATGTTTACCTCTTTATGGACAGACACTTCAATCGAATTTATTACTGTGGACAGATTTCCTGAAACAGCATTGTGCTTTCTCCAATACTATTAAGAACACTGCACCTCCCCCAAAGTTTCCAGTATTTGTAGTTTCAAAAGAATAGTGCCAGAATAGCAGTAATTCTGCTATAGCAGAATATCAAGACATACTAACAAGGAGACTGAATACGAAGGATTATCCCATCACTATAAAAAACCCAAATAAGCAACGCTATTTCCAATTAACACCCTGCTAAAACCCGGCAGAAACCTTTCCCCAACGCCTCGTTGTCGAGACATTGCTCAGGCCTTTTTTCTGAAATCTATCCGGAACGGCGCTGAACTGCCCTTCTCACTGCCCTCCCCGCCGGGACGCCCCGCAGCCCGCGGTACCGCCCGCCCGAGGCCTGACCCACACGGCTTCTTCCGCACGGGAGGGGGGGGGTGGTGCTGGGTAA